AGGGATTTTTAAAACCCCTAAATCCCTGTTTACCTGCCTAGGATTAAAATAATGATTTAAAAAAAAATAAATGGCAGCTTGTGGTTTTGTCTTGGCAAAATATGAAATAAATATAAATTGATTAAACTTCTTTTAATAGGTATTTACCTACCATTTGTCTCAAATCCAGGTATAATCTAGATTCATTATCTTGCCCCTTCTGTCTCTGAGCTGCAAGTGGTGATCAGTGAGCTTGGCAGGCTAGCAGAAAACGAGTTAGGAAGGTAAATGTTGAGCCAGGAAATCCGTTCCTGAGGGGCTATGGGTGAGCTGTTTGATCAAGGGCTTAAGGAGAGACAAGCTAGCTGATGCAGGCAGAGACCCTGACCATCCCGAGGTCCGCTCCATAGACCTTAAAGGATCAGAAGGTACTCAGATCTTAAGGGAGCCAGTGATATCTAGTGGAAATGATCCGGAAGTCTGCTTCTAGAACTGGCTCAGCTTACAAATCTTCGGAGATTCTGGGCAAATCACCCCTCCCTCTTTAAGGCTATTTCTGCAGGGCTATGGTGGATTTTTGGCAGGCTTACTCATCCATGGCCAAAGTACTTTGCCAAGTTCACTGCTTGGTACTCTCAGCTGTGAAGCAGAAGGGGCAGGATTATCCAGCAGTATTGCTCCAGATAATCTAACAGGCCTGTGTAGACAGCAGTGAAACTCCAAAGTATTTCACAAATTAACCAATTCGCTTTGCAGAAATACACATAACTTCAGATAGAAGCAAAAGGAAGGAAGGAAAGGAGAAATGGATGGATGCCAGGATACCATCACCAACTCCTACAATCTCTCTTCACCACACACCTAAAAAACAATCAAATGATACAGGATCTTAGGTTCATTTGCTTTAAGCCCAAAAGCCCTTACTTAAAATGAGGAAGATGAATACGCTAACAGTTGAAAATAAAAGTGATTTGCTCACATATATAACCTGCCTAGCTGGTTAATTTTTTAAAAGTATGTTAAAGTCAACGGCATATGCTGGGGCAGGCAGTTCCATAGGGACTGTATCATCCATGGCATGAGCAGCGGGCTGATTTGGAGCAGGCAGCACCACCAGAGCTCAAGGACTCACCAGCTTCTTTGAAGACTGTCCATTTTGCTTCTAGAGGATTGGTCAAAAATGCCATTTCAGCAGTGTGGGTTTCACAGTGTAAAAGTGGGATTTGTTTATAGTGTATTTAATGACATTATTGTGAGATGGCATTGGTCAGGACAGCATCACGCAGAGCTTTCTTGTATAGTAACAATTGTTTTACATTATTCCTCTATGGCACCCCAAGGTGGCACCACACCCGAATTTGCATTTGGAGTTACAGAACTCCATGTGCCACATGCAGTCCTGTGTTGCACTCTTCCCACCAGGTATTTTGAGCATCAAGCAAGCGTGGGAGTAACACTCATTCTCACACTTACGTGTTGAATGTATAACTGATTCAGAAACCTCTTAAACACCTGTCAATCTGACACGTGGCATTCTGCTCTTTCTTATTGACATCGATCGTCCACATGGGGAGGCATGAATATCAGGGTCAGGATTAAGGCAATAACTTTGGTTATTGGAGAAAGTAGCATGTGCTGCCGGCCTAACCTTGGGAAAAGAAAAGTGACCCAAAGAATTGACATTTTTCCAAAGGTCCATCCTTGGAAATCACTGAACAGAAACCACCAGAGCCTTTTCAACATGATAAATAAACCACTTGTCAAATCTACTTGGTCACATGATCCAAAATATTCCTAATCAAGAATATTTTACTTTTCTCTAAAGTCACTTTGACTTGAAAGAAACTCAGGCACAATCCAGTGTCACTGGCAACATTCTCTCATCTTCTCATGTTGAGGGCTTTCAGCCAGGGAGCTCACGTGCATGTGAGCATGTGTGTGCGCGCGCACACACACACACACACACACACACACACACACACAGCCTAAGAGTGAGGTAGGAGAAAATTTTAGCCAAAGACAATGAGGCAAGCCTAGAAACTCATGGAAAAAATGGGTGACATTGCCCTGGCTTATAATCCTGAACCACACAATGTTGCCTTTATGGTATATTAATTCTGTTTTTATGTTACCTAAAAGGTCCATTTTACCAAGTATGATATATGGGAGGTAAAAGGTGTGCTTTAAGCAATGGAATAACCACTGAATATATTTTTTAAAACAATGTGGTTGAGCAAATAAATCCTACTTATATATTTATACCCATGGCCTAATCCAGGGGACCCAAACATCTTAAGTGTGAGAACCCCTTTTTAACATCAAAATGTTTTATGGACACACACACACACACACACACAGAGACCAGTTGCATTCACGGTGTATATTTGGAACTAAATAAATATAAAGATGAGAGTGCATGCTACCACATGGATTCATAGACCCCTTGTAATAACTGAGACAACCTCCCCAAGAAATCCATGGCCCTCAGATTAAGAAGCCAGTCAGTTTCTGGGTCTTAGAGCTCTGGGAAGAGGGGAAACAACACTGAAGGAGGGATTAAAAAACCCAAGCCTAGGCTTCTACCACTTGCTAGTTGTTTGACCTTGAGCACATCACCTAAACTCTCTCTGAGTCTATGTCTTCATTCATAAAAGGGTTGGAATACATTATTCTCATCTGTAAAAGGGCAATGAAGTTTTTCACAATCTCTGCCTTAACAAGATAGCTGTGTCAAATGAGATGTATATAAAGCACTTTGTGAACACCTTCAGGCACTACGTAAGGATCAAGCATTATTATAGTCCTCACAATTTTCGTGCATGTAATTCATGTTTGTAACACTGAAGTTTACAAAGCTTTTCCTCACAGCAACCCTAGGAGGTGGGAAGTGCATGTATTAATATCATCTCCATCTAACAAGCATGTAAACTGAGACTTAGCAAGGTTAACTAACTTGTCTGTGATCACACAGCTGTCAAAGCCCAGACTTGATCCCAGGCACCCCTTTCCTGAATACCTACACCATGCTGCCTTTCTTATACCTTATGTTTGATGATACAGTATTTTATCTTTTATGTATATATTATCTGTTACAAAAATAAAGGTAGAGTAAGAAATCAACTGCAAAGGGGAAAATCCTTTTAAAATTCATTTAAACACGTGTACTCTCTTAAGTCTTGCTGCTTTGTTTCTGTGATCGAAGAAAAAGACAATGGCAGGGAATAGACTGCAATAATCATGTGTGAACCACATTGCCCAGTACAGGGCCCTGACTCTGGAATCAGAAGCTCTGGTTTCTGCGGTCTCAGCAAATCCCTTTCACCAGTCTGGGCCTCAATTTTCTCGGGTGCGAATGAGAGGGGTTGGGCTCATGATTTCAAAGTTCTTTTTCCACTCCACTCTTCCAACTTTGTTTCCAAACACTTATTCCTTTCATGTTGAAGGGAGTTCTCTAGCGCCATTTTCAGTCAGGTTCCCACAAGGAACACCTGATTGGCCATCACTTTGAGGTTTCCACTGTGCCTCCTGTTTGGCTCCCTTTCCTTTAACTCGTTCGAGACACACCTCACCATCTACAACAGAGAGGTTCCTAGAAACTGAATTTTTTGAATTAAATTATATTCTCAGAGGCAGTTTGGCATATTGGATTTGGTACTGGGCTTGGTGTTCAGGAATACTTCTGTCAACCTTAGGAAAACATCTTAAGACTCAGCTAAGGGCTCTTTGTGCAACAGAAAAAGTACTTTGTTTGGAGTCTAGACATAGATTCAAATCGTGGCTCTTCTAACCAGCCGTGACTCTGGACAAGTCACTTCTTCCCTCTAAACCTCAATTTCCTCATCTGTGAAATTAAGCCATTAGGCCAGATGATCTCTAAGACTCCTTCCAGCTTTAAATTCCACTGAGTCATAGGTGGAGTGGGTTCTTCTCCCTCATGGACAAGTTCCAAATGAACTAGGGATGCTTGTATGGATTCACCAATTTGTTGGTGAATCATTAAAAAAAGGAAAAGGACCTTTTTTTGTATATTGGTTATGTATAAAGCAAGCTATGACTGTAAATAGATTGATGCAAAAGGGTCCACAAGATGGTTTGAAAACACTGGTACCTTCTGGGCCCAACATACTTAACAGTGAAGAATGATGGGCAAACATGTCAAGCCCCAACACAAATTCTGTGTCTGCCATATGCAGACATACAAAAACCTTTGGGTTGGGAAGCATTTGGGTTTTTGCAGTGTCTGTATTTCTGTGAAAAGTGTAAGGTCCTGGAGAAATTAGAGCCTAGCTGTCTTGATATCAGGTGAACATAATGGAAGAAATAAGCATTTGTGAAAAAGTCATTCTTCCCGATTCCCTGCTAACAGGCCGCTAGAAGTTGCACACAGAGTATGAAATAGCAGTTTGTACCTCTAGCAGGGATTGTTGAATGTGTCTAACTTTTTCTTCCTCCTCAAAGCAATATTTTCTTTCCACAAATCTGTTAGCATCCATCCTGTTGTTTTGCCTTGCTGTTTAAAATGTATGACTATGGGGCCAGCTAGGTGGTGCAGTGGATAGAGCACCAGCCCTGGATTCAGGAGAACCTGAGTTCAAATCCGGCCTCACACGCACATAATACTTACTAGCTGTGTGACCCTGGGCATGTCACTTAACCCCATTGCCTAGCCAAAAAATAAAATAAAATAACATAACATAAAATAACATAAAATAAAATGACTATCTAGAACCACGATTTTATTTGCAACGAAGAAAAGTAGCTTTGGGATTGTGCTCAGGAAATATCCATTTTAAGATTTTTTTTTTTATCCCAATTCTAGACTGGTTGTGGTTTGTAAAAATCTAGTAGGAATTGCTAGTGATTTTATGGATATAAGTCCGAAGAACTGTTTGAGCGGGAATTGTATATGCAAGGCTGAATGCTGATCAACAGAGCATAATATTGCATGCTGAAGTATGCTAACTAAAGCACAATTAATTACATTTTTTTCTCTCCCCCCCCCCCACAATTTCCTGCTGCAGCGACTGCATTTGCCTCCAGACTTGTCAGACACAGTGAGCCGCTCGAGCAAACGGGATCTGGTGGAATCCGCCAAACAGCTGAGCCTGGGATGTGGCATGATGGCTGGAGGCAAAGAGTGCCTGGACTTCTAGGGATTGCTACTTGGGGGCCTCTCTCAGACTCCTGTGATACCCTCTTTATACCCTCTTTGGGGTTACCAGTGGTTTATGTGAATATTTTTCTTAATGATTTAACCCAACAATCTTAAAAACTCATAAAGGATTTTTTAAATGGTGCCTGCTCTTTTCCTTGTGTATGTTTTTAATCATGATTTGGTTTAGGTTTTTTCCTGGAAAACTGTAACTGAAATATTTCTCCATTTAAAAGTTATGACTTAAATAATGAAAAATACCTTCCTCCTTATAGAGGTGGGGAACTGCTAGGGCAGAATGTAGTATACATTATCAGATGCAGCCACTATTTAGGATGGTCTTGCTTATTTTTCCTTTTTACAAATTAAGACTAAATTTAGAAGAGGAGGATGTTTTTAGAAATAACTATAATGTAAAAGCAGAGGGCATCAATAAGATTTATTTTTCTATTCAAAGAGGTATATGTTGTATTCTCAGTCAGAATAATAATGTTTTATTTTATAAATAAAAACAAACTCAACATCAAAAAAGATCATGCTGTTCTGCAGTAGACAATGGTGCACTTAGATTTTTTTGTCTATGTAAAAAATAGTAATGGGTCGTATATGGAAGTCTTGTGAGACTCAAAAAAGATGTTCATATTAACTAGGGATCATAATTACTTGTTATCCACTGAAAATATTGTAGTTTGGGCAGAGCAAGATATAACAGACTAATTTTGCAAATCTATAAGGACTATACTGTACTGAAATGTGCTAGCATGTCATATGCATTCTGTTATATAAATTATTAAATTGATAAAGAAATATAATTTGAAAGTGAGACTATCGAAGACAGTATATCTGCTTTGTTGGTTAATAAATGTATTAAAACAAACTGCAGTGATCCAAATTTGTGCAGCCTAGAAAAGGAATTGATGGCCTTCTGTAGTTCACAACAGTAATCCTGAACGTTTGAAGTCAGCACTATAAAATCATGTCACCAAACAGAGGTCAAGATTGAAATCCAAGCTGACAGCTTTATTAATGCCAGGATACCCAAAAAAGGGCACTGAAGCTAGATGGGAAAGTAGCACAGAACCCAGACTTGAAGCCAAATGATGGAGGATTAAAAAAAAAATCAACTAACTCATCTTCGCCTTGCATCAGCTCTGCCCTTCATTAGTAAATTCAGGAAGGTTGGTTATTCAACAACTATTCATTCAGATCCTGCTCTGGGCAGGCCTCCTAAGAATGTGAGGCCGTTATCCATACACATGCCAAGCTGCACACATTTTGTTGCAACAGATTTGTAGCAACAACTCTGTCCTGAAGTCACGTTTCCACGTTCTTGAATTTTTGTACGTGTGCTCAAGGTGACCCTGGCACAGATTAGGCACCAGTGAATGTCATTGACAAAACAACATTTCTATCTTCCAGAGACAACTCTCCTTCTAAATGGGCTATTCCACCCCAATAGAGAGAAAACTGGGTTTCCAAAATATATTTTCATATATGTTATTCTATTTTGATGTGATTATAACTAACATTTTCAAATGGCCTACTTTTAATATGTTACAAATTTCACTTTATTTGTTCTTGACCACATTGCATAAAACAAAGACTTAGCTTTTAAAACTGTCTAACTAATATGATGAATGTCAATCACTTAAAAAAATCCACTGTAGCATAAACACATACTGTATACAGCTTTTATTCAGAATTAGAATAATTGAATCAATGACAGTGATTTGCTTGGATGTCAAATCTCTCCATCATATCCTGTCACTACCAGTTTATTTTTTGTGATAAAAATCAAAAAGACTACTATTTTTTTTTCAGCCGCTATTTCATTAGTAGTAACAATCAGGGTTTTTTCTTTTTTTTTCCCTAAGAATGTCTCAGGGTGTTTTTTTCCCCCGTTTCTTTTAATTCCTAAAGACACAAATTCTTATCAATTTTCTTTTCAAAACAAAGTTTCAGACCTTATCTGTCAGTTAAAATTTAAAGGCTTTGATATTTTTAAGCAGAGGTGTTTTTAAAAATCTCAACAGACTTCAAGAACTGATTTGGTCTATGCTTTATAAATAACCAAAAAAAGAAATACTGAACAAAAGCTTTGCTGTGTCCTTTGAAAGTAATTATGAACAATTTGAACGCATTCAAATGAATATTTGTAGTCAGGTTGTTATTTTAACAAAACTAATCTCTTTTTTTTTCCTGTATTGTAATTCATTTGATACAAACACAACTGAACAATTATGTTGGATTTGACTCTGAAAAGACGAACTGAAGTCATCAAATATGTAAATTGCTTGTCAAAATACTTAATAGGTCATTGATTTACTTCCCTGGCTACCATGTCTATAAAATTAACAGCCAATTACTAGTTAATATATGCTTTGCAAGTAGATAAGTACTATAGGAACTGAATATGCATATTTAAACCTTTAATTTAAATATAAAAAACTTTGCAAACTCAATAAAAGTACCTTTGTAGCAATAAAAATATATAGGTCTTGTGAGAATCAGATTTAGGTGCTTTTCTTTGTTTCCTTAAAAGGAAAACAGTTCAAAATTTTTTCTTAACTTCTAGAAACATTATTTGTATTAAAACATACTAAGATGACTTAGTAACTTAATCCCCCCAAAAAGTGGTCCTATCTCTAAACATACCCCTTTTCATATTAAATGAAATATGAGACATCGAGAGAGATTTGTCCTTCAATTATCCACTTGAAAAGCAATATAAATAATTAATTTCAAAGATTTCATCATGCTGTTTTAAATATTTCAAGCCTATGAACTTCAAAACCTGATGTGTACCATTTGTCCCTTCTAATAGGTTTGACTCTCTTTAACATGAGGTCCGTATTTTGGCTTATTTCGGTTGACTCAGATACTTGAGCTTCAGGACCTTCTTAATTTTATGGTCACCGCAATGCAATCTTCACCTTCTGATTCCTCATTCACCATTTTTCCTCTTCCTCCCCGACCTAGGGGGCTCCCAAAATGAACACAGGCTATGGTAACTTCAAGAGGAAGCAGACATCTGGAATCCATCCCCTGGTTATCTTCTCATTTTAAAGAATCCCTCAGATATTCTCTCTCTCTCTCTCTCTCTCTCTCTCTCTCTCTCTCTCTCTCTCTCTCTCTCTCTCTCTCTCTCTCTCTCACACACACACACACACACACACACACACACACACACACACACTATTGATTTAAGTCCTTTAACGTTAACATTCCCCAGGCATCCGATGACTCCTTTCCAGAGAGGGCTGCCATTAACAGTGTCCAGTGCAAGCAAAACCAACCCTAAGTGTTTACTCTTTGAACTTTAAAACTGAGTGCCGAGTTGTTCAGAACTCCATTGAACAACTAGCTCAAAGTTTATCCTTTCAGAAAGGGAAAAGGACAAGATGTGTTCAGCCCTGTCTGGCCAAACTTACTATCCAGATAGCTGGAGTGGAGAAGAGTCATTTCTTCAGTCTTGTCGACATTGATGCCCAGAGCAGAAAGAAATGAACCAGAAGGCTGTGTGAGGCATCTCCAAGATAAAAATCCATCCGTAGAACAAGGATAAATTTTAAATAACACTTTGCAAATCTATTTGGGCAGCCCAGTTACAACTGAAACAGGAAGAACTAAAGGCCATTAGTGACCAGCCCCAGGAAGTCATTTCCCATTAACAGGAGACTTTTCTTTTAGGAAATATCAGCCCTTTTTTTGAGACAAGGAAATCTATTTTTGTGATAGAGACTTTTCCACTCAGGTTCACTTGATGAGAGTGTTTGTTAAAAGAACAATTAGCTTTCTCTCTTCCTATTGAGCAAAACAACTCCGTAGAGAAAGGATGAGTTGTACAGTCCAGGAGTTCTATGAGGACCCTGCTCATCAGCAGATCCTAGGCTAGGAGAGCACATGAAACCATCTCTGAGGCGCTTCCATTTGTAAATAAATCAATATGTCTATCTGTGAATAAATTAATCAAAATAAACCATCTCAACCGTGAACAAAAGGCCAGCCTCTCCCAGGCAGCTGCTTTTTGACGGCTAGGCACAGCTGAAGCAGCCCTAGGGTTTATGCCAGGTTGGCTCAGGTAGAGCTCTGCCCCTAGTTCCACACCACACCACAGTCTCTCCTCTGGAGATGAGATGAAATCTTTCCCCAGGACAGGGGTAGCACCCAACTGGATGGACTGAAGGGTCTCAGGTTCCACTGAACAGCAGCGTCTTCTGGCCGAACCAGGCCATATCCTCAGGGACATCCCTGAGACACAAAGGACAGATGCACACACAGACACAGCCTCAGCAAGGCTGCTTCCACATACACAAGCACTCTCTATGGTATTGTCAGCTAGGCCAGAAAATGGGAGGCTAAGGCTGGCTGCCTGACTGCCCCCAAACACAGCCCCTCTGCAGGTTACAGAGCTGGGGGCAGGGAGTCAAGGCCAGAAGCATATGCACGTGCAGGCATGCACACACACATACACAGCCTTATGGTCCTTCACTACCATTTCACTTTGCACCCTGAGTCCCCTGGGGAAGTGCAGACAGCAAAATGTCAGGAGGTGGAAATGTCTGCAGAGGCATTAGAAGACATTACACAAAAGACTGGGTCATTTTGTGTGTGTGTGTGTGTGTGTGTGTGTGTGTGTGTGTGTGTGTGTGTGTTAGAACACAAGTGCTCACGTTTCACTAGCATACATCATATATGCATGTGTGTCCTTTGTGTGTACAGAGAAGGGGGGAAGAGAAAGAGGGAGAAAAGAAGAGGGGAGGGAGAGGGAAAAAAAGATGGGAGAGAACGAGAATTGAGAAAGGGAGAGAACGCAATGAACATAGGCTATCACAGTGTGGAACAACTCTACATGCAGGGTGGTAATTTACAAAAAGAACAGAAAAGGCATAAATATGAAGATGATCAGAAATGTACACAGTTGCATCATGATAATTTGCCTCAAAGTAATCTGTTAATTATAAAGTATGATTACTAAAGAGGGTGAGGAGAAGCTCTCCAGTTATTTTCTATATTTCCTTTCTTTTGCCTTATAAACACACAGGCTCCTGTGCACACATATGCAAGTATGTAAGCAAGTAAGCATGCATACACATGAACACATATGTGCACACATGCATGTGCATGCACACACACACAATGAGATTCAGCAGAGCATGGCTTTGTCCCCAGAGTTTCCTCTGTGTGCCAGTATTCAACCCAGACTCCTTGGATACCCAGTCTTTCCCTGAAGTTTATGGTGAATACCTTATCTGCATCTGCTTCTGTGGTTCTGAGACAAAAATCGCCTCAGAGGATCCCTTTCCCTTCTCAAAGGCCCATTTGGGTTCGCTCTACTTGGATTCAGAACTCAGGGCCCGCGATCGGCCACTTTAAACGTGATCCAATCCGTTCTTCCCTTCGAATCACGACTGCCCCACGATGAGCCGGCTCTGTCGACGTGAGAGCGTTTGGCTTCAGCTGCCAATGACTGACGGCCTTTAACTTTTCCTAGCCAGTCGCAATCCACATTGCGGGCGCTTGTCGGTGTGTCTGTTGTCATTATTCCTTGACATGCAACATCCCCCCTCCACTCTCCAACCATACACAGCCCCACAGAAAAGCAAGATTCAGATGAGAACAGCTGGAGAGTTTCAATGGGAAATGATGCCTCTTGTGCAAAGTGGGGGTGGGGGGGAGGTGGAAAGAAAGGACAGAGAAAAGCAGGAGCTTTCAGAGAGTTTTGAATGAGCAAATCTACTTTTGAATATACTTCAGAGAAACCACAGTGGAAATGGGCTGCCCACTGAAGTCTGTCCAGATTGACAATCCCAGCTCGAATTCAAAAAGCAAGGCCTACTTAGTAGCCTGTTGCCTTGTAAACTGTCCTTAATTCTTTAACCTGTTTTTCCAAAACCAACCATCTTGTGTAAATTTCATAGGTAAGGGCACAGATCTATCTCTGTATAGAAGAAATTGAGTTTCTTTGTCTAATGCATACCTTACGGGCTTGGGTGGATCTCTAAGAATTAGTTCCTGGAGTGCCTTCCATATTTGAAATAGAATCTGATTTGAAAAGAATAGTCCACAGAAAATGTTACCCCAATATGGAAACAAAATTTGCACCGGCACACTATGAGGTTAAAAAGAAAATAGTATAATCAAGGAAATACAAAGGCTTTGGCATGGTTTTTACAATCAACAATGGTTAATTTTGATATGTAGTTGTGAACAACTGCAAAACACTTAAGTTTCAAACTCTTGCAAGCACTTTTAATTGATTAGAATGAATTCTAGATGCACAAAAAATGATTGGACTGTGAACAGCAGTACAAGTCTAGCTAAGAACAATTAACCTTTGCTGACCAAAAAAGAAACTTAGGATGCATGAAAATGTGTATAAAACATCTATAGAGTATTCTTGTCAAATATAAATGAAATTAACTTTATTATAGAAATCATTCTGGGAGATTTCTAGGGAAGACAAATACTTACATTTTGACATAAAACAAATTGGATTATATCGAAGACACAATCTACCTTTTTTACCTATCAACTTTTCTTTGAAGTTCTCTCGTATCCTTTTTTTCTTTTCTTTTTTTTCTTTTTTTTTTTTTGCACATAAACTTCATCTGTTAACAACCTTTGGGAACCCAATAGATTTTTTTTTCTTAAAAAAGTCTAGTGCGTATTGTTCCAGGTTTCATTATATGGGATGGAATGATATAGACTCGGAATGTCAGTCCATCACCTATGAACAGATTGGTAGAAGGATTCGATATATCTTGATAAAAACTCTTAAATTTGTGGCAGAACTTGTTGATCATGGCTTCCTTTTTTTTTTTAAACAGCTTCATGACCAACACAGATCAGAAACATCCATCTAGTCCACGTTGTTCTTTGTTTTTCATCATAACATACAAATGCTCATTTACAAATAATACACCAAAATGAATAAAAGTTTGGATACCAAAATGAAGATTTGTTCCAACTGATATAATGCCTTCTGTGTACAAAGGTCCATGGGTAAAGTCTTTTTTCCTCCAAGTGGTATGGTATGGTACAGGACACAGTTGTAATCCAGAAGCACTTCTCACAGCTGATCTTCCTTTATAAAATATTCTTATAACATCCAACTGTTGTCCATATATAGTCATTGACTGAAGTAACACACTTTTTTCCTTCCTTTCTTTCTTTCTTTCTTTCTTTCTTTCTTTCTTTCTTTCTTTCTTTCTTTCTTTCTTTCTTCTTCTTTTTTTTTACTGTAATCGTGGCCAGTATTGAGACATATCAGGTTCACTTCCAGGAACTTGAACTGGGACTGACACTCCAGGAGAAATGAGGCCTAAAAAGGGAGAGGGGAAAAAATCCATATAAATGCATATATAGAAATAAACTTTCCTGGTTGGACTTCCAACGATGTGGAATTTTTTAATCTTCTCAAATATAAAATCCACAGTGATTCCTAGTATTATATATATATATATATGTGTGTGTGTGTGTGTGTGTGTGTGTGTGTGTGTGCGTAGATGTATATGTGTGTGTATGTGTGTATATATAGCTTATATATGTGCGTGTATATATATATATATATATATATATATACATATATATAACTATCTTTGAAGTATATATCACAAATCAAGTGGTATTTCTCAAAAGAGGGTGAAAGTGTGGTTTGTCTTTCCAAATGCTTGTAACATAGGAAAGCAGCCATACTATGCCACAGATTCAAAATTAGAGGACATTTTGAGAGGGCATTTAATTCAACCCTCATTTTACAGGTGAGGGAACTGAGGACTGATGAGGTTTCGGGTCAAGGTCACATAAGTGATAAGTAGCAGAACAGGATTTCACACCCAGGTCCTCCAAATACAAATCCCATGATAGTCCAACTCTACCTTTGAAAAGTATTTATTTATAAAGAAGGACAGAAATGATCACAGAACATGGAAATGCATTCAGTAATCCCTTTCTGAGCACAAATACAGGCCTTGGTTGTGCTTCTGAGACTGCCGGAGGAGGGGTCCTATTGATTTTTTTTTTTTTACATTTGAATCCTTTTAGTATCAGGAAGAGAGAGCAATGCCAATCAGGGTGATTAAACTCAGGATTGCCCAGGTTTATAAGTATGGTAAACCCAGACAAAGGAAAAGAAACAAAAAGGTATATGAAGTTGGGCCTGGGGATTAACCAGAGCAGGGAGCTGGCAGCACCAGAAAGAGAACAGTCATTCCATCTGAAGACTAAACAATGGGATGAGAAGTAGGGGCTACTCACCTGTTGAAGTGGTACCAGAAGTGCCCATTGGCTGACTGTTCATGTGTGTCTGCATGTGCGGAGGAGTGTAAGTATCATAACTCCGCCCATTCACCGACGGACTAGTGGGTAGCATGCAAGAGTAAGAGGAGGTCTGGCTGGGGACAGGGGGCTGTCAGGAAAAAGGAAAGGACGGTTACAGAGAAATGCCCCCAAAGTGCAGCTGCACCCATTGTTTAAAGTGGGTGTCATTTCTGATTTTTCAACAGGATTATTGATTCAAACCTGTAAGGGGCCTAAGAGGTGACCTCATCCAACTTTTTTGTTTTCCCAGTGAAAGGAAAAGACGTCCAAAGTCACACAGCCTAACTAGTCAAGGGCAAAATTCAAACCTAGGTTTTCTGACTCCAAATCTATGTCGCTTCTCCTTACACTGGGCCAACACAGTGGAACCTTATGAAACATTGGTGGTACATGACTGTGTTTATTAAAGGAAGCCTTCCCATAATGTATTTAAAAACTAGAAACCCAGTAGGGTTTCAATCCAACCAATGTTCATTGGTTGCTGTTATATGTCAGGTGTAGATGGCTACGGCCACCATTTAATCATCTTGGTATTTACAAAGGCACCAGACATCCAAATGAAAACCAAAACATTTGGATAATTAACTCATTTTGGCAATCATAATATTTGGCATTTACTACTTGGAATTCTACAGATAGCTTTTAAAAAGTCTGCAAGTTTTATCTTGGAAATGCAGAGTCCTATTGATATAAGCAAAATATATAGCCTGCAGATTTTGTGAGCCTCTGTGATGATGGGAATGAATTTTTCACTGTGCCTACAAACACCAAATGATCAGCGTTGGAGGTCATTTACCTCTGCCCACAAAAATAGACACTCAAACTTGGGGTTCCATCATCCTCCCTGCAAGCACATACAAACACACCATCACTACCAGCACCAATAACAGTAACTCGCTCGTCTTGCCCTATAGTGAAGGCTCATAAAAAGCCTGCGTAGGGGCTAGGGAATTGACTTGATATTACTGATCACAGCCAATTAAATATTTCTTGAATAGTACAATAAGGTTAGTGGGGTTAGAGTAGAGGCAGTTTAGTCATTAGGAAGTCCCAAGAAATGGCAGGAACACAAATTTCTCTGGTGAATCACTAATTCACTGAGATTCTGACCACTGAGTTCCCATCTTTGTGGAGCTGTGCAAATAAAATCATCGTGGATACTCCATAATGGTTAATAAGCACACTAATGAAAAGAAAGACGGTTATTCCTAACTAATTAAAAAGTGCACTGACTCTACACCTCAGGGCTCCTAGGTGTGAATAATAAGAATTAATAATAATCGCACCTTGAGTGTATATCACACCTTTTCTTGTTCTCAGAGATCTGTCTGTCCCACGCTTATCCCCCTTTTTTATCCTCCCAGCAACCCTGATGTTGCTTCTGTTTTGAGTCAAATTGTGTAAGATTCAGTGTGGCTTTATTAAAACAGGAGAAGTGTTCTGCTAATATCAGGTTCAAAGACACAAACAAGCCTAGAGGACCCATCAGCCATTCCAGCATGCAATGTACCAGCAGTCTTTACCACTAGGTAGGCTGGCTTCTGGAAATTTTCCTGGCAAAGATGGTAAAAATCAAGCTTTGTGTTGTCAATCCCCTAATTTGTGTCAATGGGGCCACCAGCCATTCATATCCCAGTGCAATCAAAATAAATATTTCACCAACTCCCTTGATTATGTCTCCAAAACACAGTCACTTCACTTCTGTTTCTTCAATCCTATGATTGTGTAGGTTATGAAGCATGTACCTTATGGAGACATACACGTGGTCCTTCTTTAAACGAACACTAGCAATTTTGTGGGGAATAATCATTATAGATCTAGATCTATCTGACCGGGATTTTGTTATTTAGTCCTTTGAGTCACGTCCGACTCTTTGTGATGCCATCTGGGGTTTTCTTGTCGAAGATCACTTTCCTCCTCCAGCTCATTTTACAGGAAACTGAGGCAAATAGGGTTAAGTGGCTCGTCCAGAGTCACACAGCAAATAACTATCAGGGGCCAGATTTGAACTCAGGTTTTTCTGACTCCGGGCCTAGCATTCTATCCACTGTACCACCTAGCTGCCCGTCTGATGGCTATTGAGAGCAACTACAACAATTAGCTCCCAAGTTTACCTGTCCAACCTCTCCCTGTACTGCTGCTCTAATTACTCAAAGTAAGAGACCAGAGCAAATGTGTGGGGAATGTGGAAAGCAGAACTGCAAGGAAGATGATGAATTTCTGACCCCATGGGCTAGAATTAGGTACTGGGATGAAAAGGCATAGCTAGGATACTTTTACAAGGCCGTTTCTGCCTCGAACAACAGCCACAGCTCTGGGGTGGTGAGTGGTTCATTGAAATCAGGCAAAAGCAAATCCCCACGTACTCCTGTTTCCTTGGTCTATGAAAAGGACAAGCACATTTTTGCATTTGCACTTCAAGGGAGTTCCTTCAATTTCTCCTGTTATGGGGAGATGCAAAAAGGAGCTGAGCTCATCCACCAGTTCAAACCTATTCTGCCATGTAAATATAAAGAAATCTTTCTTTCTTCCCTTATTAAATAAAATAGAGGTGTCAAATGTCCCCTGAAGTTCCCCAGTGTTCTAATCTAAATTCTGATCCAGAGAGATAACTATAAATACATACTAACCCATAAGTCAATCAAAAGCAAGCTACCATAAAATCATTTAATCAACACCTTTCATTTTACAGATGAGAAAACTGAGGACCAGAGAGATTAAATGATTCTCCCAAGGTCCCATATTTCAAGCTAGAGATCATCTGGCCTAACCCCTTCATTTACTCTACAGATGAGGCAACTGAGGCCACAGAAGTGATGTGACCAGTTACGTTGTCTCTAAATCACCAAGCATCACTCACCCCTGAGTCCCACTCACCACTTTCAGGCTGTGTCTACAAAGCACAAACATGGTGGCCTTCACGATTAGTCTGACTGGTCCGAATCAATTGTTTTTCTTTTTTCATTTGGGGAGAGGGAAGCATCAATTAGAATAGGTTTGGTGGTTTTCTTTTAACTGGGTGACTTTTCTTGAAAGACATGGTCAGTTAAGTCCATAGATCATAGATTTAAAGCAATAAGGGAACCTTGGGGACCATGTAGTCCAACTCCTTCATTCAGAGGTTCCGACAAGGGAAAGACTTGCCCAAGGTCACACAGGCATGATGGGCCAAAGATGAGCTTTGGAACCACATTTCCTGACTCTGAATTCAGTACTCTTTCCACGGCACCACAGGTCAAAATGATTTGTTCATTATGGGAGGCAAGGGGCTACCATGTAGACAGACACAGCCTGAACATTCTCCCTTATTGCCAGGATCTTCTTTCTGGGTCCCTTAATGAACAGACACCACCACACTCCCACTTACTTGCATAGGCAGGTTGTTTGCCATTGTGAAGCTGGGCATGGGAGGCAAAGCACTGTATGTATTTGTTAGAGCTGTGTCCGTCCGACCCAACATAGAGCCTGATGTGAAGGAGGAAACTGCAGAACAGAAGACACAAGAAACAAAAACAAAACCAAACAAAAACAATTGGCCTGGAGTGCCACACTTCTGATAGTCACACCCTAGACTCAGCGGACAGACTTAAAAAAACAGATGCATCGTCTCAAAATTACCAGGAGTGGTGGGTTGTGGGATTGGCTGGTAGACGCTGGTACTGAAACTACTGCTGATGGGTATGTGACTGGGTGTGTTGCTAGCCTGCCTCCTCTGGTTCCTCAGTTTTTCTTCCCTTCTCCATTTTGCTCTTCGATTAGAAAACCATACCTGGAAACAGGAAGGATAGGACATACATGAGGAACAGCTTCAAGGGAAAAAAAAAAGAAAAGCCATCTCCCCCCCACACACACACACCTTTACCCCAGTTTCCAGCACCTCCCCCACTATCTGCGGCCAATGAAACCTCTTGGGACAGCAAAGTTTTTAGGACAGTGTAGCTGGTAAGCTGGGTCCGTTGTAATTTATATAAATAAATAGTGGTAGTTAGCAGAACCTTTGTCTTTTGAAAATCCAGAGAGAGGAATCACAAAGCATTTAATTACCCAATCCCTAGTGTACCTGTATTCTTGCTTCAGGTAGGTCTATTTTGGCAGCTAGCCTCTCTCTGGCAAACACATCTGGGTAATGGGTTCGTTCAAACTCTGGAGGAAGAAGTGAATATTTCAATATCAGTGCCAGGGCTGCCCAAAATGAGTCAGCCTAGATCTGAACCTTGAACTCTTCTCTCCTCTCCACCTTGATTCTCCTACCTCCCATCACTGCCCTTGGAAATGCTATTATTAAATACTTGGAAAGACTTTTCTCACCAAAATTAAATTAAACTTTCATTAAAATGAACTTGAAGACTGAGAAGCCAGGATAGCCCAAATCATCTTTTTATAGGAAGATTTAGAATCTTTAAATTCCTAGTATATTGGGGAAAACCGAATATTCAGATTTTTTTAAACATAAGGGGTCCTGGTTAAATTTAGTTCTCTGTATTTCAAATGTGTCACTGCCTTTGATCTACAATTTTTCTGCTTTGAAAAACTCCCATCACCTTTCTCCAGAGCCTCAATTTGCTCTTGGGTAAAGGATGTCCTATTTCTTTGCAGTTTTCGCTTCAGCTGAAGTCTCATTTGGGCTTCATCTGAATCTTCTCCATTTGAGCTGATGGAATTAGTGTTCTCCCCCCCTCCTTCCTGTTGCTGGCAGCCATCTGGAACAACAACAACCAAAAAAAAAATAGGACATTAAGAAAAAATCAGAGTAACTCAGATTCCTAAAGGCTCATATCGTCTGGCCTCAGATTCCATCAGCCGGGTTTTCTGACAGCCTCCCTGAAATATTACCAAGAAATCTGTCCCCTCCAATGAAGGGGATCCTCAATGACCTGGCCTTTTATCTTCTTCCACTTTAACCAAGAGGGGGAAAAAATGGAAAGACAGTCTCAAGAATACCATTCCTTTGTAGAACAAAATAGACACCAAAGTAGTTTCAAAGAAAAGTCATTTTTTTTTTAAAGACGCTTTGCCCAGATGCTTCACCACCAGGCTCCCTTTCCCTGTGCAATTTATTTACCTATGGCTACATTAAACATAAGTGACGTTCAGCATTTCAGATTATCCATAATCAGTAATTCCGAGCTAATCAATTAGATGTTGATAGGTTTGCAGAAAATGCTATTAAGAAACCAAACCAAGCTTGTAATCTTTTTTAAAAAATATTTATCTAGTTTTTATTTGAATTCTGCACAGTCAATTTCATTTTAAAGGTTGTGAATTTAGAAGTGCTTGCTTTGTTCTCTAGTTTTATTCAACTATTGTATGAGTGTGTATTGCCTTGACACCTATTACTGAGCACAGCTGTAATTATATCATCACCAAGAACAGGCTATAATTGCTGAAAATGGAATTTTATATTTAGATAAAAGGACTGTCCATTCTTTGTAATGTGTTGCACCAGAGAAAAGTAAGATTTCTTTTAAAATTTCAACATGTAATTTTAAAAAAAGAAATAGTCGAGAGTTCACTAACTAGCTAAATATGCTACCCCACAGCTGAGCCCCTTGGTATGTCATTTAAGTGGTACATTTTTAATTAGGGCATTTCCACCACTTTTAATGTAATTTCTATCATTTAACAAGGGAAAGTTTTTTAATATTGTTGTTGTTTTTGCCCCCCCCCCCCCCGTGCTGTTGGACAGTGAGTCGTGTATGTACTTGGACTAGCTGGCTGTTGGTGCCTGGGAAGCCCCTAAGCCCAATGGTGACTGCAGGGAGGAAGAAAATGGATACTGAAGGTAGGGAGGGTCGAGGGGGACTCCCCAGAGGGACCCCCATCCCCCAGCCCTGCTTTGCTTTCTCCTTCTTTGTCCCTAGCTCCCCTTCCAGGACACTAAAGGAGGCCTCTTCTTCCCCCTAGCCTTAGTTCTTGAAGGCTGGGGCTGCTGCTTGGGACAGCTTCTGCTCAGGGGCTGGGGGGTCGGGGGGCTGAGAGGACTAGTGGGGTGGGAATCGACTTCTCCAGGAATATCATTTATAACCAGGGACAATAGGCAGCGGGTTCAAAGCGATGGGGCAATTGTGACAGGATCTAGTGGGATCCTTTCAGGCGCTCTGAAATGTTTTAAAACCCCAACTTTCTCCCCCATTTAAACAGGCGGATTCATCGGCACTGGTCACCATATGGGCCTCGGGAGATCTATTGAGATGACCACCAACACTTGAATAGCTCGGGGCTGCTTTTCACCGGCGCACAAAGCCCGGGGAGTAAGGGAAACTATTAAACTCCTGGGGCAAGAGCGTTGGCAAACTTTCGTGGGCAGAATTTGGAGGCCACAATGAGAGGGGACAACAAAAGGATTCTCTTGAGGCGTGCAGCGGGCCACATTGTGTTACAAGCAGCCCAGTCAACAGACTTTTCAGTGAAGTATGTTAACCTCTCTGCTCTACTATCATTAATCACTGTCCCCTGGGCTGGGCTCCTCAATGCTATTTAGGGGGCTCGCCTTTCTATAGGGAGGGGGGAGGAAGAGAAGGGGGAGGGAGAAAAGAGGTGGAGGAGAGGAGGAGAGGAGGAGAGATGGAGAGACAGAGAGGGGAGGAGGGGAGAGGGAGAGAGAGAGAGAGAGAGAGAGAGAGAGAGAGAGAGAGAGAGAGAGAGAGAGAGGCAAACTTGTGAATAGAGCATCTCTCAGAACATCTCCATAGCCTGAGCTGTTTACTCTACAGCAAGAAACAAAAGCGATGGGGGTGGAGAGAACTACTTAGCTAAGATTAGATAAGCTTCAACTCCTGCATTAGGACACAAGTGTCTGTTTTTATTTACTGCCCAAAGTTAGCATGACTTTTTAAGTGGTTTTCAGGGCAAGAATTCAAGTGTCCCCTTGTTTTTGAATTAGGGAGAGAGAGCAGAGGAGAGGGCTGTGGAAAGGAGAAGAGGAAAAAAAAGGGGGAAAGAGAAAAAGAGAAAAGGAGAAAGGATAAGAAGGAAGAGGGAAGAGAAGAAGAGGAAATGGGGGCAGGGAGCAGAAACAGAAGAGAAATATTACAAGTAGTCTATTGGTCTCTGCACAATTTCCTCTTTCTGAATCAGAAAGACAAGTTTCCAGACAACCTTTTTCCATATGTAAAAAGTTATTGAATATTCTGACTGGGATAAGTAATTTCTTCCTGAAATCCTAGGGCTAGTAGCTGGAAGCAAATCTAAGGCAAGGAAGAGCTGAGATCTGGGTCCTGGGAGAGTGAGGCAGAGTGGGGAAAGAGCTCCCTTTCCTTATCACCTCTTTTCCTGCCTGGTCCCTCCAAGAAGTTTTTCCTTTTTGCCCTCACTGGGACTTAAACCTTTCTTAAACCGGATTTAAATCCTCTTTATTTGACTTTCACTTTCCTAACTTGAAATATGGTTTTAAGGAAATCTGGGGAAAACCTGTCTGTTTCTCTGTCTCTCCTTTCTCTTTCCCATCCCCACCTTCATTCTCCCAACCAAGGTTAGATTAACATTGACCAGAGTCTACAGTGGCTTAGAGCTTAAATATATATCCAGCTGTTCTTGGGCAAGAAAGGAAGACAAAGTAGGAGATTGGAAAATTTTAAGACTTTTTTTCTTTTTTAAAGGAAAGAAGAGGGAGCAACACCAAGGAAAGTCATTATTTGTTGTTGTTGTTGTTGATTTTTTTTCTTCCTAGTCAATTACCGCTTCCCAAGGTTCTAAACCATGACTATCTATCTATTCCATTATTTACTTGTTCTCTTTTAAATCCACTTTACTTCCATTCTTTACAATTGTTTGAAGTTTGGAGAGAGGATTTTTATCTACTTTTTGCTATTCCTTTACTTTTTTTAAGCCTGTGTGACCCTTTTAAAGTCTATTTACACAAGTACCAAAAGTTCCCTCTCAAATTCCAAGTAATATAAACTTAATAGACAATTAAGAGCTTTTCTTTTAAAAAGATCCTTCAGATGCTGCCAATGAAGGGTCTTCATTGGTAGCATCCTACCTACTACTATCCCTATAGCTAGACCTTCAAGCTCTCATGTGGAGGAAGAAGGGGCAGAGGAGGAGGAGGAGGAGGAAGAGGAAGAAGAAGAGGAAGAGGAGGAAGAAGAGGAGGAGGAGAAGGAGGAGGAGGAGGAGGAGGAAGATCATCTCTGAGTTTCTTAGTGTCTTAATCAGTGAGGCGGAAAACAAGCAAAAAAAAAAAGCAAACCAATTTCTGCACCTTTCAGCTACGGAACGCGGATCAAAACATTGCAGCGTCTGTTGAAAGAGAAAGTGTCTAAATCCTATAGAGGGCTTGGGCATTACAAATCGGAGGGGGGGGGGGTTGGCGGAGATAAGAACAAGTGCCTCAGTGATCCCTAAAACCGCTAAATCACTGGAGAATTTCTGCCCGATAGACTTGTCTCTTTTTGTTCTGCCAGGCTGTGTCGTCATTATTTTATTCACTGCCGCATGGCGTTTATCAGATTGAAACCATATTTGTCCCCCTCTGAGACCTAACCTCGCCTTATGCGGCGGCAGTAGTGAACTCTTCAAACCCAGTAACTTAGTACGTCCTGGGGTGGGGGGGGGAGTGGGGAGGGAAGGAGGAGCTCGGGAAGGGGGCGGGTAAGGATAGGGGTGCGGTCATTTGCACCAGCAAGCAAAGCTATTCCCTTGGAAGTCCGATCTGATTCCTACTCCTAGGCACTTCTGGGCGGGTCCCGGGGGTCCCAGTCCTAGCTGCTGCCCCTGGTCCCGCGCCTGCACGAGTGTGGGCGCGTACACACTCTGCAGGTTGGCGGAAAAGTGTGGACGCACCTGAAAAAGCTCTCTGCCTCCGGCTCCCCACCCCACCTTCATCTCCCGCCCTCCTCCTGCCGCCCCCAAGCCCAACTTTTCTCTTCTTGGGGATCCGATGAGGCCCGTTAGCCACGGAGTCCTTGCTATATCCTTCTTCCCCCTAGGTGTCCAGAAGTCAAGAAGGAATCTGGTCCCTTCCATGACCCATGTTTTAGCACAGTATATAGTTAGCATATATAAAGCGTATATAGTTAGCATATAGTAAGCGTTCAATAAATGTTTTTTAATTCGTTCGTGTTAGTTCTGAGTTTGACCCAATCGTCACCCTTTAACCCTACCTCACTTGAAAGAAAGTGGCTATTGTTCTTCGAGTCTCTTACTTCCACAACCCAGAGAGGGTCCTCCCTAGTCCCCAGGCCAGTTTTCTATACGGGGGCCCAAACCTGAGCCGTACTAACAAGCAAATCCTTGGGGTACTGGTGCTTGCAGCCCACAAATAGGAAGCAACCTTGTAAGAGAGGGTAGAAAGATCAGGTACATTCCTACAAAGGGGAAAGGTTACGGCACCGCCCCCCCCCCCCGCCACTTCTTTTAGACAAAGAGCATCCTCTCCCAGAATGGAGAGGTGGGAGAATGGGAGTAGGAGGGGGAGGAGTGTCCCACGGGGTTTCCAAATGACGGGGCAGGGTGGAGGAAGAAGAGAGTGAGGCGACTTGCCCTGAGAGGAAGCAGGGCTCTTCCCTCTATCTATATGTGTGTCTGGTCCGGGAACACCTGAGTGTGTCCCGAATGTGTGTTAAGTGGGTATGTTGGAGGGTGTGTGCCTGTCAACTGATGAGGGATTGAGCGAGGAAAGCAGAGAAGCGAAGAGTGGAGTGCAGACAAAATGGTAGATGGGAAAACGAATAGACAGAAATTTGGGGGGTGGGGAGAGCTAAAGAGACAGGGAGATGGGGGAAAGAGACGGAAAGAACACAAGATCGAAAAAGAAGAGAAGAGGAGAGAAGGAAGGGAAGGAAGAGGAGGCAAGGAAATAGAGGAAAGGGGAGGGGAAGAAAGGAAAGGGCAGGGGAGGGAAGGGGAGTGGAGGAGAAGGGAAACGAAGCGAAGAGGAGGGAAAGGAAAGTAGGGGAAGGAGAAGTAGAAGGGAAGAGAGGGGAAGGGGAGGGAAAGGAAGGGAAGAGAGGGGAAGGGGAGGGAAGGGGAAGGGAAGGGAAGGGGAAGGGAAAGGAAGAGAGGGAAAAGGGGTGGGGAGAAAAGGAGAAGGAAGGGAAGGAAAGGGGAAGGAAAGGGAAGGTGACGGAAGGAAAGAGGGGAGCGGACAGAATAAGACAAAACGGGAACGGACAGATTAAGACAAAAGAGCAGAGGGAAGGGGAGAAAAACAGGATGGACGCTGATTATGATATGGGTGTTTAACACCGGAGAAGTCTCTGGTGAAGAAATATCCAAAGCACCTGAAGGCGTATTAGATGGCTGGCGGACTGAGCTGGAAGCTAGAGGCTCTTGGGGCAGAAGGCTTTCCTTCCTGTTCTTTCTCCTACTCCCCTGCTTTGGAACAGAGCGGCCTCTCCTGGCCGCGCAGCCCAGACCCGGCAGCATCTAGGTGTCCTTTGGGTTCGAATCTCGGGCTGGAGGTGGGGAGGTGGGGTGGAGAAGAAGGAGCCGGGGTGAGCATTGCCAACCTTCCTGGGGGTGAGTGCAGTCAAGTAGAGCCCTAGCCCATCTTTAAGGCCTTCCGATCCTCAAAGGGTAGAGACGGTAGACCGAAAAAAAAAAGTGAAAGCTTGCTCCCTATCTTTCCAGTGTCCTTCCTATATTGTCTTCTGCTCTTAAAGCTGACACGTCTAATTGGCAAGCGGCGCCACAGCGTGTCCAGGGGTCTCCTGTGGAACATTTCTACAGCTGTCTCCTTCAACTAGACGCTTATTCATGTCGCCTTAATGAGAAACAAAACGCTCTCTAATGAGCAATTACATAGCGACAGGATTGTTCCCATAACAAATTCTTCCGAGTGACAGAAGCATCCTTTGTAGCAGATATTTCGCATACTGTTACTGATTTTCTAGTTCCCTTTCCGCGTCCCTCGGGGGGCGGAGGCACCCCCAAAGCGGCTCGTGGGACAACCAGCCCGGCTAGCTCCCTGGAGGGCGCCACTCCCCTGCCTAGCCAGCCCAGGTCAGCCCAGCCTCCTCTGACCTGGAGCCCCCCGGGCTTAGTCATGTTTCCGGGAGTGCGACGCCACGTCCCATTATTCCACATATTATCTCCCTGTCACAGGGACAACAAATCCCGATTAATCTTCGGGAGAAAACAGTTTTCTATTTTTGGCCAAACTAACTCAGTTCACCTGGGGGGGCGGGGATAGTGGACAGAAACTGGAGAGATCCACGAAATCTGCGCCTCTCCCACTTTTTCCTCCTGGGCTCAGACTGGGTGCCTCCCTGCTCCTCTGCCCCACTCATTAAAGGTCAGTGCCTCCACTAAACCCTCCTTTCCTCGAAAGGTCAGGCTCCAATTGACCAGGAGAGGCCTTCCATCAATCTATCCTCAGACACAGGTGGGTTTCTACCACAATTTTTCCCTCTCTAGGAAAAAGACTAAGAACAGCAAGAACCGGGTGAGTAGATGGGGGTGGGGAATGAGAGAGAACGCAATAGGGTTGGGGCTGAAAGGTATGGGACTAGTGTTCTTTTTGACTAAAGGAAAACATTCACACTCCCTACTTCTCCACTGGCTCCTGAATCCCGCACCCAAACCGCATCTCCCTCCGCATCTTTCCATATGCTCCTTACTCACAGTCACATAATTTGTCAATTACTGTAAAAAGCAAAATGATACAATTATGTTTACCTCACAGTCTGTCAGTATGTTAACTTGTCACACTCCTACAGCAAGGGGGCTCTCGATGCATTTTAATGGAAATTTAAATAGAGAACCACGTGGTCCTCTTATACGCACACTCACATGAACTCTCTCTCTCTCTCTCTCTCTCTCTCTCTCTCTCTCTCTCTCTCTCTCTCTCTCTCTCTCTCCTCTCTCTCTCTCTCTCTCTCCCCGCCCCCCCCTCCCAAGCTAACCCAACACATCCCGCTCCTCTAGCCCACTCTTGCCTTTCCCCTAGAGGCAAGTCTTCCACGAGCACTCGCCTTTCAGCACTTCGCTCAAGTCCCATTTTGCCAGGAGCAGCTCTGGAGCCGAGCTCTGTCCTGGCCTCTTGCCTGCCTTAGCTTTCCTCAGGGGCATCCGATTTCTGTGACAGTTCCTTCTGCCCGACTCAAAAAACGGGGTGGGGGAGATCGAAGGAGAGGGAACCAGACTGGGTACAAGGAGAGCGCGAGTTCCGAGTGTGTGCTTTACCTGGTGTAGGTTGCCCTGGTACAGAGGTCCCCGGATACCACCCTGGGCGGGTGCCCCAGCTTCCTGTCTGCCCGTTCAGCATTCTTAGTTTATCATACATGCCGTCTGCGCCCATCTGTTGCTTTTCGCTAGCCAGGTTGCGTAGAACTCTGTTTATTGATGATACCTGTGAACGGAACCCAAAGCAGATCCCAGGGAAGTGTCCTTTAAAAACAACTACGACAACCACACAAACGCTAGCTCCGTTTAAAATAATCATTCCCACCAGTTTGCCTTAAAATACATTTTCATTCGTTCATTATTCAGCCCCCTCTTCTCCCTAGACCCCATGACAGTGGAAAGATTAACATAATGGGGAGAAAAACATCCCCATTGCTATCAACCAGGGATGCTCCTGGGTAAGCAGAGAATACAGGACATTCTATTCTAATATTTTATAGGGCATTAGCAAAATTTGCCGTGTTTCAAGATTCTCTGGGGGAAAGTCCAAATTTTGAATTTTCTTTGGTTTCCTTTTGTTGGGGTAGTGGTTGGTTTGTCCCCCCACCCCTGGTTGTGGGGGCAATTTGTGAATGGTTTGGGCACATAGGTCTGGAGTTCTTTCTCTCCTAGCCTATCTTCACCATCTCTCTCCCCATTCCCCACCCAAATAAAGAGTGGGGCTATTTTTTTTCCTTTTCCATTTTTTTTTTTGGTGGTGATGGAAATAAATTGCACTCTCAATCTCCTGGGCTCCCCAGCCATAATTGCCTGGCAGCATACAAATAACATGAACCCCCCCACACACACTCCAACAGTTTTAGAACAGGACAAAAGAAACTGTATCTGTCTGACAATGACCCAGGTGCCCAGAGACAAGGGAGGGGTCCAGAGCTGAAGAAAGGGAGGGGGAGGAAGAGGAGGAGGAGGAGAAGATGATGATGATGATGATGATGATGATGATGATGGAGGAGGAGGAGAAAGAGAAGGAGGGGAGAAAGGAAGAGGAGAGGGAAAGAAGGGAAAGGGAAAGAAGTAAAGAGAAGGAAGGAAGGGAAGAGGAGAAGGGGAAGGGAGAAAGAGAAGAGAAGGGAAGAGGGGAGGAGAGAAGAAAAGAGAAGAAAAAGAGAGAGGTATGGAATTGAAAAAGGCAGAATTTAAAGAGTATTAGGTGAGAAGTGAGAGGAAAAAGAAAAGAAGGAAGGAGAGAAGGAAGAGAGGGAGAGAAGAAGGAAAGGAAGGAAGAAGAAAAGGAAAGAAGGAAGGGAGAGAGGAAGGGAGGGAGGGAGAGAGAGAGAGAGAGAGAGACCCCGCAAAATGAGTGCCAAGGTGTTGCTTTGGTAGTCTCACGAACTTACGCTGGGTATATTGTCGTTGGTACAGACCCCCTCCGACAGTAATCTGTCTCGGATTTCCCAAGCAAATATGGACGGGCACTCTCGTTTATACTGGGCTATTTTGCTGACAACTTCGGGAGTCGCTACCCTGGGTTTGCTACCTCCGATGGCTCTGGGCCTGATGGAACCGGTCTCGTAATACCTGCCCAGAATCTTACTCACACATCCATTGGATACCTGCATAGGGGAAGCGGACAGAAAACCACATTATTAATAATTTCAAGACAAAAATAAAATTGTTTAAGTATGCATTAAACAAGGACAAGCTTACGTTTTGATTGTCCAGCACTTGGACTTTTGCATCTGCATGGGTCTATAACACAAAAATATACCTTCAATGGTATGAGAACTTACTTTAGAGAGGTTTTTTTTTCTTAAAATTACATTTGTGGCCCCTAAACACTACAAATGTGATGATACTTTAAAACATCTGGAATTTTAAAAAACCTATTTTAAAAGGTTCTTAAAAAACAAAAACAAAACTATTCTACTCATCCCTGCTTGAAGATGAACAAAAACTAAGTTAATCGTCTTTGACTGAGTCTGCTTACAATCAATATGTTTGTTTGTTAATGGCAAAAAGGGGAAATAAACTGAAAATTGATTATTGCGGTTTCCATACTGAACTTGCCCAGGAGGGATAACGGGATCGGGGGCCAAGCAGCTTTGTCTTTATAATCTAATAAATCTATATTTCGTAAATAATAAGTAAAGTTTAGGGCACACGGGGATCTTGGAATCTGAAGTGAATATAGGGAACAACTGAAATTATGTCAGTTTATATAATTCCGTTTATTACACTTCACTAACTGTAACGAGAATAAATCCTTTTACCAAATGAAAATAGATAGAATATTTTTTTTAAATAAGTAAAGTTAAAAAAAAAGCAGATGAATAATTGTATGTAACTGACCCAGGTTGAAAAGGTAGTCAGGGTAGGATGGGTGAGGGAGACAGGAAAGGGGGGTGGGGGGCAGGGTGGGGTACAGGGAGCAGGGGCAGGGGTCCGTAATTAAAGCTTTTACGGTAAAAGATGGAGAGAGTGCGTTCAGAGCGGTGGCCTTTGGAAGCAAGTGGGGAGGCGTAGCCGAGGATCACCTGCAGAATTCGGGAAATGTCACACGGCCGGGCCCCGCTGTGAGCTAGTTCCACGATCTTCTGGCGGGTGGAATCCGGCAGTGGCCGCCCGTTGACAAATACACCACCGAGCTGATTCACTCCACTGTGACCTAGGAGAAAGAAAGCAGAGAAAGAAAGAGGGACAGGGACAAGGAAGGGGAGAAAGGAAGAGAGGGGAGGAAGAGAGAGAGGGAGAGAGGAAGGGAAGGAAGGTGGGGGAACAACAAAAAAAATAACATCCTCAGCTACCTGCGGATCCACGACAACTTCAACCATCAGGTTGCTGCTATTGATCAAGGACAACAGAAAAATGCATTCTTCTGCCACATCCAATACAGCCATGCATCCAATAACAAATACCCCAGTCCTATCAAATCCCTTTGCAGCTTGCCAGTCCTATCAAATCCCTTTGCAGCTTCGTCTGGGCTCTCAGAAAGACAATTTCCATTCATCACTGGTATTTTTCAGCCCAGAAAGTCGGAGACAGTCAAAGGAACAAGTCAGAACGTTCTGCCACTTCGCTCCCCGCCTCAAACCTCGAAACCCCAAGGACAGATAAGCATCACTGGTGATCGTTCTCGAGATTCTGATCCCTAATTTCAAGACTGGATGGTCTATCCATCCATCTCTGGATTCCTGAAGACTGAGCACTCCATATAACAATGACAAAATAATAAAACTCCCCTCCGATCTTCCCTGTCTAGAAGTTTCGAGTCAATAAAATTCAACGTAATATTCCAAATATGTGAGCAGAGGTCACATTTTTTTTAATATAGAGAGAAGAGAAGAGAGGAGAGAAGAAGAGAGGAGAAGGAAGAAGAAGAGAGGAGAGGAGAAGAGAAGAGAGGAGCACATTTTTTTCCAGACTACCACCCTTTCTCTCTGACCTGGGCACCAAACCTACAACCACCGAGCGGCCATTCCTCCTCAGCTCCTACACTGCAGCCGAGACACAGGACCAAAACTATAACTGACCAAGGGCAGAGTTGCTGAGGTCCCTAGCTCTCCCCCAACCCCCCCCCCAAAAGATTCGAGAACCGAAAGGCGTCCAGGGACTGAGGAATTGCTTAATTTGTAGCTGATACTTCAGCTGCTGCTGCTGAGGTGCTCATCACTACAGTTGTCCCAAAAGCAGAGGATAGAAAGAAAAGGATCAAACATAGAAAAAGAAAGGAAAGAAAACAAAAAATTTCCCACGAAAAGTACCCTCTCCCACTCCATTTAGCTGCCCCCTTACAACCCAATAATACACACACATCCACTTCTTTCTCCGTTCTGCAGCCTCAACTCCACTTTCTGATCTGGAGAAATGTGGTGGCTTCCTATCTCCTGCTCTTATTCCCCAGGAAACCCTCGGCGCCCCAAAACAGCAAATCTCATTAGCAGCCTCCTTAAAATCCCCAACCTGGAGCCCCGACTTTACAGAGAATCTCTTCTAGGAGAAGCTCTGACTGTCTCTCTTCTCTCCTCTCCTCTCCTCTGCTCTCCTCTCCTCTCTTTGGAGCCTCCTGATAAATGGACTCCAGGAGCCTGGGCTTCTTAGCAATAAATAAGCTCTAAATATAGAAGAGGGGGGAAAATATGATGAGCCTCTCTGACATTTGTCTTTAAAATAAAACTAGCTGCACGTCAAGTTTGAGCTTAATTTCTGGAAATAGGCGGAAGTCGCTCCGGATCATGCATGGAAGGCTAATTGAAAAGATCAGTCGGAGCACTTGTGGCAGACCTGTCACTTTATGACAGTGCTCCGCTCCTGGAAATTGCATCGTCACGACAAATAGTACCATGATAAAACGACCCTTTCTGTCCCTATTTGGATATCACTCAGACGAGATGGGACTTTACTGGTTTCGCCTTCCAGGGGAGCCGCGTTCTAAGGGTAGCCACGGGCTCTGCGCGGACATAACCGAGGGGGTGCGCTCGCCACTCACTCGATGCGAAGTGACATGCAGTTTGGCTGTTTGAACGTCGAGGCAGTCGGGCCCAGCACTGGAGCAATCTGCAATATTACACCCAGCCCAGGCCTAGAGAGGAACATTAGATTTTGGTTTTGCTGCCCCCCCTCACCCCCTTCCTGGCTTTTCTGTGCTCCTAGCATTCATTATCTAAAGAGGACACTCGCTAAACCCTTCTCGGGGTATTGGGACCTTGGTCCCCGGTACCTTACATCTTTTCCCCCCGAAAATGAGAGATAAAGAGGTAGCATGAGAAAAAGAAAGAAGGAAGGGGAGAAACAGAGAAAGCGAGAGGGAGAGAGAGAGAGAGAGAGAGAGAGAGAGAGAGAGAGAGAGAGAGAGAGAGAGAGAGAGAGAGAGACCCAAGGCAAGTAGAGAACGATGCCACTTCTTGCAGGAGAGGCCACCCCACGGTCTCCCCCAAAGTGATCCACTGGGCCCGAGGTGCTCTCCCAGCCTGGGTCCTGTTAAGGCTGTGGGGCCAGGACGCCCAGCTTCGAAAAAGCATCGAAGAAAGCCGGGCTCCAAAGTTCCCCTTAAGAGGTTAAGCCTTAATCATTGTATCATTTCCCTGGGGAGGAGTGTAGCTCTCTCCCAGTGGCGATGATTATGCGCCTTGTATTCTATTGCGAGGCATCTAATAGGAAAACATATGGTGTCAATTTGGCGGCTCCGCGCCTAGCACACACCCAGGAGCGAGGCGCACAAAGCCCGGTCTGCCTGCCCGCGACCCCGCGGCCAAGTCGGGGCTGCGCCCGGTCGCGCCCAGGAGGCCCCAGCGGCGCTGGGCGAGCTGACACTGGGGCCGTGCGAAGGCATCTGCTATTAACGTAAACTCCCCTCGCCACATCAAGGCCAAGAAAGAGCCAAGACCAGGGAAAGGGAGGGAAGGAACAAGGGGGGAAGGCGCGTGTGGAGGAAGAGAGTGAAGCCTCCCTGAACCGAAGCACAGGTGACTCCCCGGCTCTGGTCCCATCTTCCGCCCAAAGCCCCAGCACGCTCTATCCGAATCCCTGGCACCAGGTCCTCTGCGTGTCCAGGTCCTTCGCGGTGACTGGGGACTCTCCTCGTCCCTTAACTACAACTCCCTCCCAGGGGCTGGGCAACCTTGAAACACTACTACCAAGAGAGGCTCAGAGCTCAGGGGGAAGAAAGAAGAGAGTGGAGTGGAAGGTCCTCTGAACAGAACCCGGACCAGAGCTGGAGGGAAACTTGCTGGGGAAGTCCACACGCCTGTTCAAGACTCTGGGCAGAACGGATCAGGGTGGGGTAAAAGGCAGAGTAGGGAAAGGTGGGCTCTTGCCACAATTTCTCAGACTCTCCTCCAGTCCGTTAGTTCCGCTGTGCTGAAACTAGAGCCGTAGGCTATCCCATTCTAGATCTATTCCAAACATGGCCTGAGTGCAGTTTGGACTGCTGATTTAGGGCCGCTGGGTTTCTGGTAAACCTGCCTTCTCCTCTCCAGAAACTTGCCGGGCGTTTACAATGGGAAATCGAGTCCCCCAAAGTTCCCTCCCAGTCGCAGTAAAAGGGTCTGGAAGCAAAGGGAGAGAAGATGGGGGGTAGAGAACCCTCCCTGAGTTTATTGTACATTTGATAGTCTAATACAGGTGATACTGGGACCCCAACAATCCTAGCCTGGCGCCCGACTTGTCCACACTGAAATATAGAAAACTGCCTCTTTTCTAGAACCAGAAAACCTTCCTCACCTGATCTCCCATGAGGGTCAATCACTACCCCCAGTATTATATCTTTCCCCCTTGTCCACTAGGACCAGGGGAGCCAACTGTCCCCTGTGAAACAGTTGAGCTCCTTCATTGCTCCGTGTAATCCCTCTGTGAAGTCTGAAATGCCCTCTTTCCCTTCCCTTGCAAATCTCCTGGCATTGCCCGAAGATGATACCAAGCACAGAGGGTTGAGGAAAATCCGAGTGTGGCACTCCACAGACTCGCCTCTCTTCCTGCAACCTGGAGAAGCCTGACACAATTCGCCCCTTCCCACTCAGTCTGGAGCTTACGACTGGGTAGGGTCAGTAGTGAAGCAGTTTTCAAGTGGGATTTAGGGCTAATTCGTTAGTAGATAGCAGTTTCAGCGAACCTTGGACAGCAGTTTTTGACTGCCCAGGCTGTTTTCCCAGAAGCTGGGATTGCACCCTCCCAAAACCAAACAAATAAAAGAAAAAAAATCCCAAACACCAAAACAAAAAGCCCACAAACCAGCAACCTCCCCCCCCACCACCACCAAAACGAAGCGCTAGTGTCCAGCCAGTAGTACTGAGACGGCAGTAGGGGCCCAGCAGCCTACAGGCCGGTATGGTCAGGGTTCCTTTAGGCCTTCTACTTTTTTTACCACCACCCGGATCCTACGCTAACCTCCAATCCAGATTCCCTACGCTCTTGAGGCGGTTCCCGAGGTCCGCAAAGAAAGACCAGAAACACTTACTGTTCTGCATGGTGGCTTGAGGCAGCGGGATCCCACGTGGCTCGGATATAGGGCTCTATTAGCAATAAAACAAACATTAATCAGGAGTTGCCGGGCTCAGGGCAGGCCTAGCTTACCGCTAATGGAAATACGTCTTGCAGAGATCGGGAGATACAGCCTCTCCTAATAAATTTATAGCTATGCGCCACATGGCGACAAATGAAGTTCATCAGTATAAACTCTCCAGTTCATGCAAATTTTGCCCCCTTCATATTTTTTCTTAGAAATAAAATCATCTCAATCTTTCCCATTTCTTCCTAGAATTTAACTCTTCAGTCAGTTAGCATTATGCATCTGGCTCTAGGGTTTTTTTTTTTTATGGAGCTTTCTGCATGAGCAATTTATCTTCTCCCTTCTCTCCACCTTCTTTTGGTCTTTGTAAAACCTCCCAACAAACCTCCCCAAACTTGCCTGAGATCTGGGATGACTGTCCTCGCTTACAATGTGAGGACTTACACATCTGCACGTCCCTAGTTAAAGTCTTCCCCCTAAGACAAAGAGGAAAGAAAAAAAAGTATATTTTAAAGTGGCATTGAGCCAGGTTCTCAAAGGTCTACCTCACAAAGAGATAAGCTAAAGCCCAAGGTTCGACTGAAGCATTTGCAGAACAATCATACAGCAATGAAACCCAAACCCAAGTTCTCTCCTCTCTCCAACGCCCCCATGCACAAAAAGGTCTTGAGACTGAAGAAGAGATTCCTAAAAAGGAGTTGGAAACTCAGAAATTACTTTTAAAACGCTATGAGATAAAGAGGAAGAGAGAGGAGAGGAGGAGCAAGTAGAGGAGAAATCAAATTAGGAACAAGAAAGGAGAGGAGGAAGGAAAGAAGACCAAGTGTAAAGAGAGGATCAGGGGGAGAAGAGGGAAGGAGTGAGCACAAGAAAAGGGAAGTGGAAGAGGGAAAAGAAGAACAAGAGAAAAGAGAGGAGGAAGAGTGAAAGAAAAAAGAGATAAGAAAAGAAAGGCAGAAGATGAAAAAGAACAGTGGGGAGAAATGAAATGGAAGGAGAAGAGGAAGAGGAAAAAAGCAAAAGAAAAGAAAGTAAAAAAGATGTAGAGAAGAGAGGAGGAAAAAAGAGCTGAAGAATTGAGAGAGAAGGAAGAAAAGGAGAGGAGGAAGAGAAGGAGGAGAAAGGGAAAGGAGGAAGGAAGGAGAAAGGGGAATAATACCTGTTTGCTTTTTGAAGGGGATGTCTGGGTGAGGTTGCCAATCAGCCAGGCCAGGGCCTAGGCCTTGGGAACTGCCTAACTTCCCATCAGCCGAGAGGCGCAGGCCCAAAGTAAACTCAGCCCAGCTTCAGGGCTTCTTTCTCCTTCCTTTCCAGCCTCTTGGGCCCCAATCTCCCTACCGGCAAACGGAACCCAACACTGCTGCTACTGCCCCCTCTCCCCACCCCCTCCTCTCCCCCCACCCCTCCCGTCTAGCCTCTCTCTCTCTCTCTCTCTCTCTCTCTCTCTCTCTCTCTCTCTCTCTCTCTCTCTCTCTCTCTCTCTCTCTCCACTCCTGGGACTTTTAAAGTGGAGCTCCCAACTTTTTTCCCCCCCAAACTCCACTTATTGTGATTAACTTCTTTTTTGGTCTTAGATCTTCCCCCTCCTCACTGTACTGTGACACACGCTGTCTACCTCGCCTCAGTGCTCTAAAAAGTAAGAACGGGAGGGGGTGAGAACCGGTCAACAAAGCCGACAGACGGGGAACAATGACTCCTATTCTCCTCCTCTCCCCAAACCCAAAGAGCCAAACCGAGCCTCCCTCACCGGCAACACAGCTTCCATCAGAACGGACCAACAACCCACCACTCACAAAGGAAACAGAAAGGACCTTCTCTCTTCATTAGCGGTGCCGCGACCCAACGCCGGTGCCCCCTCCCCCGTACTCCCCTCCTGCTCCCCCACCCCCACCTCTGGCTTTTCTTTTTTTTTTTTTTTGAAAGGAGCCTTGCGAGAAAATAGAAAAGTAATTTCTCGTTATAAATATCTGGCGGTAATTGTGTTACTGGTGTGAGTTGTTAGGGGCTGTAAAAAGATACAACAGCTCGGTGGGGAGCTTAATTGGAAAGAGACAATTGTAATAAAGAACTCATTCAAGGGGATTGCTTAAAAAGAGTGAGAGGGAGTAAGAGGAGAGGAGAGGAGAGGAGAGGAGAGGAGAGAAGAGAGCACAATGTAATACTCGCTGCCTTCAGTTTAGTATCTTCCTTCCTCCTCTTTTTTATAAAGCCTAAAGATACTCGTTCTGTATCTCATGTGCCCATGAGGAGTACTAATTTTTGTCTATCTGCGAATGATAGGGAATTCACGAGGACACGTTAGTCTATTCAGAACCATCCAGGGAATCAATTTATTAGCTAGCTTTCAGCCTGTTAAAATCCATAAAACAACAACAACAACAATATACAGCAAACAAGGACTTCTCTCGCAGCATGCGAGACTTGGACTGGTAAATATTTACTGCTACGGAAGGGTACCTGTTCGCCAACAGAGGCAGACTTCGAGAGAGAGAAAGAACGTTTGCTGCATTCCCTGTATCTCTCGGGGCTTCCCTGTTTAGCAGCAGCACCATCCCTGCCTTTAACACACCGAACACGTCTGCATATGCACACACCGGACAGAGACCCCTAGCCCGGTCTGCCCTACAGAATGGCTTCGAATTTTTGACATAGGGCTCAGAAACACGAGAGGGCTTTGCGGGGAGGAGGGGAGGTGTACAGAAGGAGAGCTAAAGAGACAGTGACACAGACAGAAAATACATTCTCCCGGCAGAGGTTAAACTTTTGCTAACTCTCTCGAAGGCTACTCTGCATACATCACAAACAGAAATCTCCTCTCCCCCTCCCCCACTTGCACCCCGTTGCTGCTGATTTAAAACAAAAATATCTAAGCGACCCTAAGGAGACGCTGCTATTTTTCGAAAAAAAACCTAAGCATATGGAAGACAGGAGAGCTCCAGATTTAAGCCCTTCCCCCATTTTTTTCTTTTTCTTTACTCACTCCTCCTTTTTCTGGAAAAATAAACTATCTAATTACCTAAGTAATCGTCAACATTGAGTCAAAAAACAATCGCGAAACTCCTGCCTTCCTGGAAGCCAGAAAAACTAAGATTTCCATCAGGGACCTGGAGCAGAGAAATGCCTGGACAACACCGCCAGGTCCCAAGCTCACTTGCTTCTGCCTCCCTGTTACCGAGCTTTGTATGGAGGGCCCTAGAAAAATGCCGGGAAAGAGAAGGAGGTGCTGCTGCAACTATCTTCAATAATCTCGACCGCTCATCAACAGACTTACTTCCCTCACTTTACAGGCCTGGCCTTCCAATTTGTGTCCCCCACCCCCCATCCTATTTCCAAATCCGGATAGAAACTCATCACCTTAGAGCAGTTCAGCACGCGCACACACACACACACACACACACACACACACACACACACACACACACACACACCCCTACCTCCCAAACCCAAACGTAATTAGCTATTAAGTTTTACTCTCTGGGGCCAAATAATAGGAAAAATGAGTCAATTTGCCTTCAGATATTTACAAAGGTCAGTGGCTATAAAACCGAAACGAAACGAAACCAAAACAAACATGTCAAAGACAATTGTTATTTTACTTTCGGGGAAACAAATGGTGAGGCTCAGAACTTTGCAACTATATTTTATTCCCGCCGCTCCCCCCTCCTCCCGTCGAACACATACAGGAGAAAGCGAAAACACTTCCAAGTTCGAGTTAAATATCCCACATGGATTTGAGAAAGGAAGGGGGAAGAAATGAGGTTCACTTTAGTTTCGTAAACTTTTCAGAAATCATTCCAAGCTATTTTTTTCCCGTCCTCCAACAGAAAGCTTTTATCACTTGAAATTCAAATCCATTTCCTTACAGTCACACTGGCATAAAAAAAAAATAAATCAGGGCCATGATGGCGCTTGGGGACTAAGAAATTCTGCTCCGCAAAAGAGTCAAGAACTTTGAGAACTTTGCAAAGACACTTTTCCTGAAGGGGGCCCCCAGATCCAAAAAGCTCTGGAAATCGCTGAGACTAATTAAGCAGGTGAGGATTTAACTTAAACTAGGGGAGAGAGGGAGGGGGAGGGAGGAAAGTGGGAGAGGTCAGGTTAATTAAATAGGCGGGGGGGGGTAACCAAGGACATAATAAGGATTTTTTTTTCTTTTTAAAATCTCAAGCCACCTCTTCGCCCAGAAACTTGTTGAATTGAAAATACCGGTTGCAGGTTGGTCACAACCAGGCTCTAAAAGCTAATTCCACACCCGGTGAAAGGCCCGCAAAGAGGAGGAGAGACTCCCGGCTTCTTCGGAGACCACAGAAGAAGGAAGGGGCTGGACTCTTACACTTGAAGAGAAATCTTCCAGCTCGAGGGCAGCTGAGAGTTGTCGGCGCGTTGGACAAGTTCGCTATGATTGTTGGACCCTTGATTGAAAGTGACATGTCCTTCAGGTAGGTTCAGAGTTCCCTGAAGATTCAAAACTACTGAGAATTGGCTTGCCAGGGATGTGACTTTCTCTCCCCCCCCACCCCTTTTCTCTGTCTCTGTCTGTCTGTCTGTCTGTCTGTCTGTCTCTCTCTCTCTCTCTCTCTCTCTCTCTCTCTCTCTCTCTCTCTCTCTTGCATTCCTGCCCGTTTCCCTTTCTTTCTCCTTCCCCCTACGCTCCTCCCTAGAAGCTAGCGAGTGCCTTCCATTTTTTTACGCGGGGATTCTTTCCTCCATCACGGAGGCCGGAGCTTCGATTCTGGAAGGCACAAAGCGAGGCCGAAGACGCGGCTCCCAGAGCTGTTCTCACTCCCCTCTGCTTGTTTCTTCCCCTCGATCTGAGAGGCACGATTGGAGGCCCGGCAAAGCCAATGGAGCCCGGAGCTGGAGAAAGGCGAAGGTCTGGCTTCTAAGATCTGGCTGAGGAAGGCGGGCGGGTAGATCATAGTCACATTAACCGAGCGCTTCCACCGCGCTGAGGATTGCTGGGCTTCTAACCCCTTTATTACTATTGCTATTATTATTATAATTTGTATGATGATGAGAAGGAGGAGGATTCATTCAGCTCACAACCTGCATCTCGGCTCACTGGCTCTGTCCCCCCTATAGCCTGGCTCCTGGAGCCCGGAGCCCGAGCCCTGAGCCTAGAGCCCGAAGCTTGAAGCTCACAGCCTGGGGCCGATTCTGCTGGTATTGCTTCTCCCCTTCCTGCTGCGGCTGCGGGCATCTCTCTTACTCCACGCTAGATGATGTAGCTTTAAGCTCCAGAGAACATTCACTCTCCCTGGAAGCAGAAAGTTTGCACTCCTGGATGGAAACTTCTCCGGACAAACTCTGTCGATTTGCAGTTGGGGGAGGGGAGGAGAAAGGGAGGGGGAGGGAGGAAAAGGGGGGGTTAGCAGAGACCTGTCTAAATATTAAAATGAAAAGGAAGAAGTGAGAAGAAGAAATGAGCAGACTCACCTTCCTGAGGCATCCTGTCTTGCTGTCAAAAGCTCCTGTCAAGAGTTTTGTTTGTTTGTTTGTTTTTTTGCTTTTGTTTGGTTTGGGGTCTGTTTGTTTTTTTGGCTTATTTTTAAAGACCGCAACGGTTGGAAAAGGATGGTGTTTTAAAGGAGATGCCGGGAAGAGTTTTCTCCAGTGAAGCTGCTGGTTTGGTTTGTGAGGAGAGAAATTCTCGAATCCCTGGGAAGGAGACAGAGATTGACAATACAATGGGCTGTCAGTGACTGGAGAGTGAGAGTGTGTGAGGGAAGTACCGAGAGACAGAGCACACCTAAGCTGATTGGTGATGGTTCAAGTGTATTAATGTGTGTGTGCCGGCTCCCTGTCTCTCCTCCACCGCTCTTCACTGGCCCATTAGCGAAGCCTGACCTCTGTCATCATCCGCCAGCAAAACACTTCCTCCTGCGCCTTAACCAGAGCGGGAAATGAGGCTGAGCTACGGCTCTCTTTTCAAACCCACTAATCACTCCGCAACATGCAAATGTACCGCTCTCTCCCACACAAAATATTGCTTTATGCAAAGCAGCTCCTGGGCCTCGCGGCTGCCGATTGGATGCTTCCTCGCTCTGCCTGGTTCAATTGGTCCATTTGTTTGAATATGAATACACTTGTTTGCGGCTCCTCAGATGAATTTTTACTCTTCGGCGGGGTCTCTCTCTCCCCCCCCCCCGTTCTATCATCCCGGCGTTCCAAGAGGGCTCCCGGCAGGTTCTAGACTCCAACGTTGCCCTACTCTCTGGAGGGGCTCCCTTGGGAAAGTTGAGTGGAGGCTACTGGGCAGGCGAGGCAGAGTTCCCTCCCCCTCCTTCCCTCCTCCGCCCCAATTCTTTTCTCCCCCCCAAGACCGTCCGTCCCCCCCCCCTCCGCATTGGGAACTGGGCGCACAGCCTGACTGATGGAGCAAGTTCCTCTCCAGCTTGGCCCAGCCCCTTCTCACCAACTACAATCCAAAGTAGCCCTGCCGCCCCGCCCCACCCCCCCTCTCCGCCCCCGGTCCTCTCTCAGGCCTGGGGAGGCCGAACCTGAAGACTGCAGATAGCGCGGATGCTTTCCAAGCCCACCTTTTCGGACCCAGAGGAAGATGAGGTGGGGGGAGGGGAGGAGGAGAAGAGGAGAGAGAAAGGGAGGAGAGCAGGGCGCGAGCGGAGGAGGGGGGATGGAGAGGGAAGGAAAGCTTATTTGTTCGTAAACATTTCGGGCTCTCTTAATGGAGGTCGGGGGAGGGGGGGAGCAGAAGGCAACGGATAGACTTCGGAGAGACGGGCGCCCCAGAAGACTAGTTGTGCCTTTACCCAACGCCACTCTCCAGCCGGCTGCCCTAGCGTCTTCACCCCCCACCCCCGGCCTTTTCTTCTTGCTGGCTCCTTTCGCAGCCCCGCCTTGGAGTGGAGGCCGGGCTGGGGCTAGAGAGGGCCGAGTAAACACGCCATTTACTTTGTGTATTGAGAAGCCCTGAAGAGTCCTCACCAAACACTCACCACCAGCCTCTCCCACGTGCCATTTGTTGACTAAGTGCGGCGGGTTTTCAGACACCCGAAAGGAGGGGAACGGGGGAAAAGGGCGGATAAGGGAAGAGGGGGGAGTAGTGGTGGCTGGGGGGATATGGCTAATGCTGGAGCGAGTGTGAGTGGATGCATGTGGGTGAGTGTGTGTGCGTGTGAACGCGTGGGGGTGGGGGAATGTATGGTGTGTGTGTGTGTGTGTGTGTGTGTGTGTGTTTTGGTGCTTGAGTGTGAGTGTACGTGCCAGGGAACGTTAGTGTGTCAGTATGCCAGAGTGCGCCCAAGTGTCAGTGATTATGTGTGTTGTGCAGTGTGTGTGTTGCGGAGTCTGTGTTGCGGGGTGATTGTGCGTGTGTGCGCGCGCCTCCATATCAGCTCTTTCCCAAGACCCAACAGAGGCGGCGCCCCTTCAGCTGTTGCCAGAAAACCAGGGAAGAAAGTAAGTAAATGACTTTTTCTGTTCTGACCACACACCACAAGTCCATTTGTTGAATGCCGGACGATTAAGACACACCTCAGTAAACTCCAAAGCCGCCCCTCGGCGCCAGCATTTAAGGTGACATGGGAGCGCCTGGCTCGGGCCGCGATGCCCTGAGTCCTCTGCGCCAAAGGCCTGGGGGAGCTGGCTGCCGGACGGTGCTGGGGGGTAGAGGGTGGGGGCGGGGATTGAGGGGAGAGAAGGGGGTGAACCTTTTGGATGGGGGCGGGCGGAGATGGCCAGAAACTAGCGCCGAAGAGTGGGAGCCCCGATGCGCCTAGCATAAAATGAAGCCGTTGCCGGGTACACTTGACTTCTCTTGACATGTGAAAAGTGGTAAAAGTCAAAGCTCATCAATAAAGTCTCCAGGCCCTGAATGCGACCGTGACAAGCAGCGCCGCTGCCGCCGCCGCCGCCGCCGCTGCCTAGCGGGGACAATAAAGAGACAAACGAGGCAGCGGATAAGCGGGCCCGGAATCCGGGACCTGAGAGCATGGGGCAGCCCAGGGCAGGGTCCCGCCTGGACTCAAGCCTTCCTTCGGGCCCTGCCTTTTCCGCCCCTCTGCAGGCCCCCTTGGCTTGGGCCTGGTCCTGAGCCTGGGCCTGGGCTTGGGCTTGGGCCTGGGCCTGCTCGGCTCGTCCTTTTTAGTTGCCGGGTTGCCACCAGGTTTTTCACCCCTACTTCCAGCCTTAGCTCCCAGGGCCAGTCTGAAAGGGCGCCACGAAGGTTGGTGGAACCACTGCCCCCCGGGGTCTTGGGGTCTCACTGTAGGGCTGAGGACAGGTGGAGAGCGGCTTCAGGGCCCGGCATGGCCTGGTGTGGCCTGGCCTGACCTCAGCGGGCTCTGGTTTGTAGTCCCGCGGGGGGTCGGGGACTTAGAGACTGGGGGTAGTCCCCATGCCTGTCAACCCTTAGGGTTCCCAGTAGCTGAGAGAATCAGCTGCCTGAGAGAGGAGGAGGCCTTTCCTTCTTCTGAGCCTGAACTGGTTGCGAACTCCCAGAATGCCCTTTATTGTGTCTTCCTCCCAGCCCTGCCAGGGCCGAGGGCCGCGGTTCCATCCTAGGACCTTGCGAGAGGGATAGAGCACTTGGAGAGGCTGGGCTACAGATCTGAAGTGCAGGATGGTGGTGGTGGGGAGGGGGAGACAGTGGGCCTGCGGCCTTTATCCACCTGAGCCTGTGCCACTTTGCCCCTGGGGATAGGGGCTGGAGAAAGTGAGGGTCTCCACCTCCTCCACCGTGGCACTGGCGATCTCCTCCCAAGCCTGTAGTTGCTCTTAACTCCTCTTCAAGCAGAGAGAGCCTGCGCGGGATTTTGTAAGACCGCGACTTTCGGAGGAGCCAAGAAATGAGAAACCGGGAAATTAATTCCAGTTTGAGTAGAAATATGTGACTTTTCTGCCTCTCTCTTTCCCTCCCTTTTTCTTGCCAAAGTAGCTCCAACTCTAGTCCACAGGGCATGGGAGGTGGGAATGAAGGGCTGGAAGGAAAAAACAATCCCCCCACTACTCCGTCCGATTTACAGGGGAATATCATTTTTACAACCTCTCAATTAGTCATTCGCTGGATTAGCACCTTCTTAAGCAAAAGCTCCGAAGAAAGCGACCGCGTAATCTCGTGCTATTTCCCCTCAGGGCACAGGGTTCTTTGTGTCCACTCCCTCCTTCACTTCTCCCCCCTTCCAAAAATGTTTTAACACACAAAAAAATCTTAAACCCTGACGTCACTGGGGTGAGGTAGGGGTTGGGGGAAAAGGGGAGGAAGGAAGGACTCTTAGAAAAGAGACACAAATCCCAGAGACCAAAATGGAACTGGTTGTTCCTAGTTCATCAGGACTTGGGGGACACAGAGCCTCGGAGGGAAAGAGTTCGGGAAGAACGAGGAAGGACGCGAGGGCAGTTTTTCATTCCCCCCACCCAGACTGTCCTCAGGGAGGGTCCTGGGTGTGGCAGATGCCCTCCCCTCAGCCGAATCTCAGAGGCGCCTCCAAGTACCTGCTACTGACCCACACCAGGAGAAAGGGGCCGGGTGGGAGCCAGCGCCGGGTTGAAGTCTGTAAAGTTGAGCCAACTCTCAGGACGCCATTTTAACTTCGGCATGCACTCTGCCCGCGCGCCTCCGGGCTTCCTCCGCACGCTGGGAGAAGGTGGACTGCCTTCCTCTAATTGCTGTCCCCCTCAGAGCAACCCCAGACCTTGCCCACTGCTCTGCCCCCTCGGAAGGCACATACGAGGCTTCTTCAGTTTCTCTTCTCTTGTCTTGCCACTCTCTCTTCTTGTTCGTGCCTTGGGGCCGCCCGGGGCCCAGTGTCCAGGGGTGGAAGGTCCAGGGGAAGTCTTCTCCTCCGGGGGCCGGAGGATTGGGCTCACCTCGGAAGCTTCCCTGAGGCTCTAATCTGTGTGTGGGGGCGGGAGGCGAAAGTTGAGTGAGACTAAAAAGCCCGTGCACCCCCTGCTCCTTACCCTGCGTCCCCCACGTTTCCCTGTCCAGCTATCTGTCTGGGGACGAGTGAAGATGAGGAAGGGGAGGACAGGTAATGGAGGATGTCTTCTGGGAAGCTATTTAGGACAACTGCAGCTTAGAAAGAAAACCGTCCGGCTCCCAGAGGGAGGACTGGCCAGATTTCCTTCTATTTGGAAAGTGGTTCCCAGGCCATGTTAGTGGCCTAAAATGTGGTCCTTCTAAAGGACAGACTGACAAACTCGAGCTCTACAGCCACGAGAGGGAAAGAAGGTATCTGCTTTTTGTGGGGGAAGGGGAAGGTTCCAGGTTAGAGTTAGCTTCTAGCACGTCCACTTACCTATTAGCTTAAGGTAATCTTGACCGCCACCCTCCAGGCCTGACCAAGAAAATGGAATTGGTAGGGAGAGATCTCTCAGGATTCGGAGAGAAGAATCCCGGGCAAGTCTGCAGGAAGCAGGATCCTTCCTGGCAAGAGAGATTCAGTGGCCTAAAGCCCACCCCCTCGGTCCATAGGCTAGAAAAGTCCCATCAATCTCTCCCATCAGGGCCTGGTATCACTACTTTTGCTGCCAGTCGTCTACTTTCCCTAGCTCGGAAAAGCCTAAAAGCCGAGCCAAGTTCGTCTTCCTCCCAGGGAACGCGGGAGCAACGAAGAGGCGGCGACGTGTGAAACCCCCAGCCGGCTGCGGCGGAGCCTTGGGAGGCTGCTGGGGACCCAGGCCGCTGGGGACCCAGACCGTTGGGGAAGCCGCGGGTCTCTAACCCTCCCTCTCCTCCTAAGTGGTGAGAGAATCCGAAGAATGGAGGTTCGTCTCCTCTGATTAACATTTGGATGTCAAACTCCTCGGAATTTTTTCTTTCTTAAATGCTTAGAAAAAAGCTTAAAGCCCTCTTGTCCAGTGTGGTCGCTCAGTGAAGAAATATGTGCGGCCTGAGGTGCTGGTCTGCGCCGCGTTTACCGGGAGGAAACTCAGTGCCTGTTTACATAGGTGAGAGT